GTGCTCTCAAAGACAAAATGTCTCTTCATTTTTCATGCTGTTCTTTTTTGGCAGGGGGTGCTGACAAATATTAAAATTGGATTTTACCAAATGTTGGTCAAAACTATAAACAATTGGTTGTGTTTTGGTCGTTTCTGCTTGAAGAACAGTTCAGATCTTTTGACGTGGGATCTTTCGGAAAGGTTACAAACATTTAGTATCCTACCTGTTGTAGATAGACTGTTGGCAAGTCCCGAGCTAGACCTTTATTAGTGAAAAATACATATAATGTAAATGCTGTAATAATAAGTCATATGTAAAATATTTGACAATACAAATAAACCTAAGATGGAGGGAAAAAAGGTACAATATTTGCTTTTTTTTACATTATTCAAGTTCAAGTTCAAGAATCTTTATTATCCCCAAGGGACAATTTGTTGCACAACCAGTAGACATAAAGACATTAGTTAGGCCAGTATGGAAATGAAACCTTTTTTTGGTTACATCTGGACGTGTCTGGAAACATGCTGACAAGTTTTGTGTCACTTCCTGTTTTCCCTGCTGTGTTTGGGAGTCTGCTAGCTCTAGCATTAGCTTCGCATGGCCTTCTTCTGTCCTCACTTGCTTCATGTGTTAGACGTTTAGTCTGAAACCTGAGTGACGTGGAATGCTGACTGCTGACTATGTCTAAGATTAAGTAGGTAATGCAGCATTTAGAAATCTGTCTTCTGCTGCTTGGTATTATTTAAAGTTTAGAGACGTTTTCTGTCCTCGTTCAATAGCATCCTCTAACAGAGCTGTAGGAATAAAACTTGTATAAATTTCTCTGCTGCCTGGAAGATAATCTAATCCCATCTCTGCTGTGCTTGTTGTCATGATGAAGACTCTGGCTGCTGAAGGCCTGCTCTGCATTGTGGTGTTGTATCAGCTGTGCTGTAACTTCAGGTGGGGTTGGAGGGTGTGTGTGTGTGTGTGTGTGTGTGTAATATGACCTCGTGTTTTTTGTGTGCAGCAGTTGATCGGTAACAGTCCCTTCATGCAGCTCCTTTATTTAGTGATGAGTTTAAAAAGTGGAAGTGAAGCTCAACCTGCATGTTGTTTGTACCTCTACGCCTGTAGTTTCCAAGGTTCAGTTGTTCAGATGTGCTGTCCATCCAGCAGCGGGGGTCACAGCAGTACCTGCTCACACTCACCCGTCTCTGCAGCGCAGTGAGACTCGCCGTGAGGGAGGAGCAGATGGTACCTCTTGCAGATCCGCTCATTACTGCTTGAAGCTGTCTTTGTTTAAAAAAAAAAGTTCCCAGACTTTTCGGCAAGAAATCCCTTCAAAGAGGAAAGTCGCCGAAGTTTTTCCTCATTAATTTGATCTGCTTTCACACTGTGAAGTCAGGGGAAATTTCACAATAAAAGCAGACAATGGAGCGAAATCAAAGAATGAATGCGTGAATGCAGATTCAGCATCCTCACTGTTGTTTCCTGTGTTTTTATTTTTCTGTAACTGTTTCTGCGTACTTTGGGCTATTCAGATATAAAAAGTTCACCTCATTCTGGTTATGAATTTAGAAACTTCTGTACTTTTCAAGAAGTTTTTTTCTGTACAAATATGTCAAAGGACTTACATCAGAATTTTTTTCAAAAGCTCCAAAATCCTTGTTTTCTTTAAAATTTGTTTCAGCATACCTAATTTATTTTGTCTTGTAGTTTTTATGTTTTTATTATTTATTTTTTGCTTCTGTTAGCTTTTATAATTAGTCTTTTAATACTTCTTGAAAAACATTTTGAGCTTTTATCATTTTGCTACTTTTAGCATTTCGTTAGTCTTTTGATACTGGTATTCAGCATTTAGCTAAACTTTTGTTACTTTTAGCTTTTACCTATTTTTTTGCTACTTTTATCTTATAGGGTTTTTTTTTACTACTTTTAGCATTTACAGTAGCTAGTCTTTTGGCACTTTTAGTTTTTAGTTTATTGCTGCTTTTAGCTATTGTTTTCACCTTTAGTTTCCAGTTAGTATTTTGATACTTTAAGCCAGTGGCGGCTGGTGTATTTTTCTCCGGGGGGGCTACAACTCCAAAATAAACATATCTCAAAAAGTGATCACACATGTACTAAGTTTTTGCATGCCAGTATATTTATGAAACAAATGAAAATAATAAAACAGTATTACGATGTCATGTGTTTTATTTTTGTACACAAATTTTGCCCTTCTGTAAATGAGAAGCACATTTCTTCATGACTCTGGTTAAATGGGCTGTGAAAAGTTAGCCCTGCAGAACGACCCTGGGATCTTCAGCACCAGTTTTTCTTGTAAATTTCACAAAATAAAATACATCATTTTGAAATTGTGTTTATTTTTAAGTTGTTGTTTATAAATTGTTTATAATTATAATTATATAATATTGTTTATTTTAACATTTTTCTTGTGAACACCAGGGCTTAGCCCTACTAGCTCACTTATACCAGCCATCACTGCTTTAAGCTATACTTTTAGCTTTTAGCTAGGTTTTTACTATTTTTAATTTTTTGTTACATTTATGCTTAGCTTTTGCACCATATTTTGCCTTACACTTTGGTATTAACTGTTGGCTTCAGTCTTATTTTTCTGCTAGGAAAATATCTTGTGAGCACTTGACAGATTTAAAATAAACTCTTAAAAAATAAATGTAAACACCTTATTAGGAGTCAACTCAATTCAAAATTGCTGCCACACAACACTGGCCAACACAAAAATAATTTGAACATGTTGCTGAACTAAAGTTTGTGTGCTATTAGCTGAGCCTCATCACAAACACACACTCTGAGTTGCTTTGGCTTAAATATTGGTGTTAAATGTTAAAATCAATTCTGCAAGTCTATTAGCAAAATATTTCAACAACAATTGCATGGATTGCTGCACTGTTAATACTAGGGCTGTGTATTGGCAAGAATTTGGCGATACGATACATATCATGACAGAGGGGTCACGATACGATATATCCCGATATATTGCGATACTATAAGCAAGGCGATATATCGCAATATATTGCGATTTTTTTTGTCCAAAAATTCTATTAAATAAAAACCTCTTACTGGGGAAAAAAATGAAAAACCAAAATTCATTGTCTCAGAAAATTCTAATATTACATAGACATGCTTTTGATACATTTAGCTGTATTCTGCTTTGTATGTATTTTATTTTATTTGTTTCATATTTCTTATTTCATCCATGTTTTCAATTATTAGACTAAATTTGACAATAAATAGTTTGAAAATATATATTTTTTGCAGCTTATAGTTTTTAATATTAATTTACAATAAGGTCACCCAACACTAAACAATAGCCTCTACCTCAAGAGGTAGAGGAGCCAAATGGCGGGCTCACTGCTGCCAACTAGTGGTCAGAGGCTGAACTACAACAAAAAAATGAATGGCTGGCAGGAAAGTTGACATTTTAAACTTAATTTAAAAAATTGATACAGGGCTTTAGAATATTGATACAGTATTGGGAAATGAAATATCGCGATATTTCAGTGCACTGTAAAAAATTAAATGTTGGATTTACTTAACCATGTTATGTGACCTGGTTYCACTTAACTGAGTTGAGTAAATTCAAAGCAATATACCAGTTTTTTTTAACCAAAGAACATGAGTATGGTGCTTTGAATTTACTCAACTCAGTTAAGTGGAACCAGGTCACATAACATGGTTAAGTAAATCCAACATTTCATTTTTAGAGTGTGTATCAATATTTTCTGACACCCCTAGTTAATACTAACTTGTGATTATTTATCCATCCATTCATTAGCTTTACCCGCTTCTTCCTTTCAGGGTCACGGAGCAGTCACTGTGCCAGGGGCAGGTACACCCATCAGGCACATACAGACAAAAAAGACAAACAACCATGCATGCACTCATTTTGGTCTGGAGAAAACCAAATGCATGCACATAAAACATGCAAACAAGGTCACCGGCCGGGATTTGATCCGGCAACTTTCTTGCTGACAGGCAATAGCTCTGACTGTTACGCAAAAATAAAAATAGTTTCTCCATTTTATTCTGAAATTTTTTAATTTATTTTGAAATGTTATCGTCTGTTTTGTGAAATGCAGTTTGTTTTTTGTTTTATTTTGTGTTATTTCGGCAGAAACAATGAAGTGACATTTTCACTCTCATGAAAAATAATCTTTTTTTTTTCTTTTAATCGAAGTGAAATTTGCTCCTCTGGAGCTTCGTTGACCTGGAGGATAGATGTGAAATCTCTCGGAGACATATTAATGTGTCACTCTTATATTTAGCACCCATGGAGCAGGTGTTAAAGGTCGAAGGGTTCACTAAGCCACTGCTGAAAAAAAAAAAAAAAAAAACTCAGCAAAAAAGGAGCGGAACGGTGCTGACGTCATGCTTTCTTGTGATGTTGAATGACAGGGATGAACATGTCCGTGGAAAAGGAGGGCTGTCTTGATGCTCTCATTTTGGGGGAGATGTGAGCAGAGGCGCACAGGCTGCATGGTGGTCACCATGCATGTTACAGGAGGAGGCAGAGGGGAGGAGGAGGAGGAGGGGGGGGATGTGAGGCAGAGCCGAACATGTGTGCGCAGTGCGTGATGGAGCCGCATATCCTATCGAGGAAAAAAAAAATGGCAGAAGAAGAACCATGTTGCGTGTGTCGCCACACCCACCACACTGAGACTACTCTGCCCAGGAGCGGAGCTGCGCTTTCCATTCCTGGCGACATGACAGTGTGGAAGGGCTGCGGGATGAGTCACGCACCTTCCACCAGCATCCATAAGCTATACACCCCACCCCCTCCTCCTCTTCCTCATTTTTTTTATCCCAGATTTAAAAAAAAAAAACAGCTGCGCGCAAAAATAACGACGGCGGCGGTTTCAGCTTTGCGGTGATGATGGCGCACGTGGGGGTGCCCCCCCCAGTTTATGGAGCGGTTATTTAAAGAGCCGTCAGTGCGCATGATACTGCGGCTCCACTACGCTACGGCACGCTCCAACTCACCTTGAATCAGCGCGCGAGCCGCCCTCCTCAGCCCCCGCCCCCTCCCTTCCCTTCCAGCTCCTCAGCCTGCTCTCACTCGGGCGGCTTGGATGAGAAGGAGAGGGAGGAGTTAAGTAAAAAGTGGGGCGGGGATTCATTTGCGGCGAACCAATCCCAGACCGGAAGCTTCGAGCGGCAGCCAATCCGCTGCGGGGAGAGGCGGACCTGTGGCTGCATTCTCACACTTGGTTTCACTATGCGCTCGTAAAAAAAAAAAAAAAAGAAAAAAAACGGGCTCCGTCTACTACAAGCGCGGCGGCTGCAGGTGCTCTCTGTCTCTTCGGGAGAGAGGAGGATGCGGACGGACGGAAGGACGGGGGAGGGAGAGCAAAAACATAAAAGGGGGGGAGAGATGGTGAAGGGAAACGCCGCGAGGAGTGAGAGGCAGATATGAGAGACGGGGGGCTGTGAGAGAGGAGTCCGTGAGGCGCAGCGGGAAGGTCGAAGGATGAGAGATTGGTCGAACGGGGCACTTTGCGTGGTGAAAAGCTGGTCGGCAATAGTACTATGATTTGGTATGTGGCCACTCTGATAGCAAGTGTATTCAGCACCAGAGGAACGGCCGCTCAAGGTGAGTTGAAGTGCAACATATCATGTGTGATTTCTGCTTAGTGCTGCCTTTTTTTTTTTTTACCCCCCATTTCTCGCTCCTCTCCTCTTTCCTCTCCTCCCTCCCTACGCCGCGTCAGCGCGTGACATTTTCGCACGTTAGGTCATATGAACAGGGGGGGGGGGGGGGGGGGCAATTTCATCCTTAACAAATGGCTGCATATCTGATGTGTCACGTGAAAGTTCAGCCCTGGGTAAAATCAGGGCAACGAGGGAGCTGCTCCTGAAAAATGGCAGCAGTTATGGGGGRAAAAAAAAATCTCACATGGGTCCCTCCGTGAAAGACGGCGTTAGGTGTGTGTGAGGTGTGTGCGTCCGCATTGTAGTCCCGTTTGAGTTCTCCAGAGAGGGGTGTGACCGTCTTAGTCCTCCTCAAGATGGGAAAGTAGCTAAATAATGCATCACGTGTCCGATGAAATGCACTCTTGAATTTGATTGAGCTCTCTCTCTGTCTTGCCGCATGCACAAGACACCAGGATGCTTGGATTTCACACTCTGCACGCCCAGCGGATATGGGATGGAGGTCACAGCAGCATCCGAGCTCACAACTCTCATCCAAATGAAAAAAAAAAAAAGGAAACAGAAATACTCTTCCCTGCTCCTCCTATAAACTGAACAGTATCCATTTTGTCCATATCCTCACACACACACACCCACACACACAACCCTTCTGATCACTCCCTATTGATCTACTTAACCTTGCTTTCCCACTTGTGTCCAGATGAGGGAGACATGTGCCAGTCTGTCACCTGGTAACTGATCCCAATGACCCCACACACACTGTACCCAGTCAGAACTGGTCTGCTCACAGGTCTGGCTCCTCCTGTGATGCCAGAGAGCCAGAGCCAAGATAAGCACAAGGCAGATTTGAAGCTAAACCCACTGGGTTTTAGGAGCAGAGAACCTCTCTGGGACGCTACATGTTCCTTTAAACRCGCTTTAWTGCAGGCGTTAAAGCTGCCTGAATGTACAAATTCAGAGGTGGTGTTTTGTGTTGCGCTGAAGGGAATTTGCCCCGTGGAAGAAGTTCACAAATCAGAATAGGCTACTGTATGTTCGTTTTTTTATATATACCGGTATATATGTTTTGGGGATTTCTGGGAATCATTTTCTGTAATAAATAAGTAAAGAAATAGTCTGGTTATTTCTGAAGTGATGTTGTGTCTAATAGTTTATAGTAGATATGGAGAAAAGGGCAGAAGTCTTACTTCGGTCTAAATGACAAGCCAAGCTATATCCCTTTATTAGGCTCACAAAACAACTTTTTTCTCAAATATGCTGTGAAAGAACACTATTAGCCGACACTCAACACTTTTGCTTCACACTGTTGTGTTCTGTTTGCTCAACTGAACAATGTCTGTGTTTCTACTCGAGTTTTAATCTGCTGTATCTGAATAAAAGTGTGAAGGTTTAGCATTTAGCTAACGTATCGGGGTTTTTTTTTTCACACCAGTATGAAATTTTTGAGAAAGAGTTGGTTTATGTTCCTGACAAACTATAAAATAGGCCTTTGGATAGCCGGTAGCTTAGCCCGGAGGACGACTTTTGCACTTTTGTCACCGCTACAGCTGATAACGTTTTAAATATTGTTAACTATTTGATAGAACATCACTTCCAAAACCATCCATTTAAAGTCAAAGGAAATCATGTGTGAAGGAGAAACGTGCATAAAAYACAGCTAAAAGTAACGAGCACGAGGTTTAAACTTTTGGATGCAAAATTTGCCTTGGTGCTCTTATGCACATTATACATGTGCAGCTAATTAGCTAAGCTAACTATCTGGTCACTTTATCTTTAAAGTCATCTGTATTGATTTGTTTACCGATGTTTGCCAAGGAAATAAATTAGTATGAAGCTAAGATCCTGTCTTACAACCTAACAAATTTCTTTCTTAGCTGTCATTAACGTATAGAAATAAATTACAGTATTTATTATTTTTGTCCATATGCTTGTGTGAATGTAGTGCTTTAGTCTTGTTCCTTATATCAGATAGTTCAGTTTCTTGCTTCATAACAAGGAGAAGAAAAGTTGGATCAGAGCAGCTAAGCTGAGCTGAAACTTGGCTTCTTTCTCTGGAGTGGGATTTTTCTGCTCGTGCACTTTGCTCAGWGTCAGGCATAAACAAAGAGTCAGGAAATCCACAAATAGGCATTCTTCTTCTAGAAAGTAGCCTTTGAATGTCCAGAAAACATTCTAAAACTGTTGATTTTGTTTTCATCCATAACAACCATTTTACAGTGTGAACAACCATGCACTGAAACATGCACAGAGCATTTTTTTATTAAGCCAATCCAGATTAAAAGACACAAAGAAGGTGTTGGTATAAAGCAGTATAATAGATTAAAACACACTTTTGAYCTGGAGAGTACCCATTGACTGCTAAAGACTAGCTTCTCAACAACGCTGCATGTAAAAGTAGGTCAAGAAAATGGAAGGACAATCAAAACACAATGCAATGAAATTATAACTTTAAAACCACCAGCTAAAAGGATAATGTGTTCTTAGTGCACTAATTTCAACTATTCTGCTGTAAAAGTAGTGTCGTCTGCAGACTTTTTAAGCTATGTTCTCACTACAGGTCTTTAATTCAGATTTAATTGCAAACATTTTCACTCTGTTAATGGACTTTTATCGAATAAAACTGCTGATTGATCAATAGAATAAACCCAGCAAAATCATTCAAACCCTGCCCCTCGGACAGTCACTGCTAAACATGGGCACCAGTGACCCTTGTGACCCTGACAGGAAGAAGTGGGTTAGAGATAATGGATGGAAAATAATTCAAAACTGAATCATCAGTGATTGAATCCAACAACACAATAAAAACAGCCGTGTGACGATTTCATTTGAAAGAAGTACAAGAAGATGTTTAACCTGGGAAGTCCGTTTCAGGGTGTTCCAGGTGAGAATGTCCTGTTCAGAAGTCTGTGTTGTGATTGGTTTAGGCAGGTGAAAGTGTTAAAAGATAATCCAAGTGTAGCCTGTTGCAGATTAATATTCTACTATCAGTTCTGCYGGAACACCTAAAGCTGTTGCTATCTGTTCAAGACAGGCTTTTTTTTGCGCGTTGGTGTCTTGCTATAGAGTTCTCTATGTTTTGTATTAGTTGTAGCTTTTTTATCTTTAGTAGGCTGCTAAATTGGTCCTGACAATAATAATAATAATACAAATAATWTAAGATTTGCAGCTGAAATTGAACTATTTGTAGTATGGATAGGGTCAGGAGCTCAAACAGCAGTGAGTCATAAAACAACACCCCGAGTTGTTTGATAAGTGTTTTGCTTTTGCTTTGACACAGTTGTGCTTAACAGAGAAAGAAAAAAAAATCAGCTTTTGCAGTTGTGGAAGCACAAAGACCTCATGGATTATTGTGGTACGAAGTTTTTGAGGCTTCCTGCCTCGTGTCCCGAACCCTTTTTGCAAGGTTTGGGGAATCTCACGCACTTCTGGTCCAGTTTCAGGGAGTACCGCTGCATGCACATCTTTTAAAGAGAACACAGTAAGCAGTCGCTCAGAGTAAACGGGCGTTCAAAGACTGCATCTTGTGCCAAGTAGCCTTCAAGGAAACAGCATTTGGTCAGAGAGACCTGAGGTTAGTTCAACAAATTCACTGGGGACTTGGCAACCAATCAAGGTGAAGCAAGAGGGGCACGAAGAGCGGTTTATAGAAGTAATTAAATGTCAGTGGCAGGTGTTGGCAAGTGGTATGTTTAAATATATTTAAATGTCCTTTAAGCATTTATCATGTGGTTAGTCGAACACAAAAGCAAAGGCCTGGTTCTGTCGGAGCAGCCTGAGATTCTGATTCTGAATCCTGGTTTTGGTCTGAATATCTAAGCAGTCTAACTACTGAACCCTTGTGGGTCAGTTAGTCCCAAGGGCAGCAGGGGGGGTTAAATGAGACTTCTTTAAAAAACGATTGAGAAATTGCTTTGTCAGCAGAGTTTTAGATTTAGATCTGGTTTCCAAAGTTTTTAACAAAATTTATAAACAACATAAATACATAATCTGTGACCCTCTGCTGCAACTGAAAGAGTTTTACCTTCTTGGTTGTATTTGTTGAAAGAAACCAGCATGTTGATGCAGTTTTTAAATCCTTTCAACAAGGAGCATTTATTGCTCACTGCCATGACAGGTGGGCGACCATGCAATCGCCTGGTCACGTGTTGGTTTTTTAGCAAATTATTTTATGAAATGCTGGACGGATTGGAACAAAACTCCTCAGAAAGTAATCGTTGGACAATCATCTATAGTCAACCCTTGTCAAGATGGCCGCCACAGCTAATAATCCTTAGCAAATGCAAAAATGCTTATGAGTCAGTCACTTTTACAGATCTTGGTTTGGTGAGGTAGAGGTTTGAGAGTCATCTATGTGATGTACTTTATATGCTGCCAGACCACACAGGTTCTTTATTTCAAACTTTGGCATAGAGGTGGGCGACATGCATTCCTTTATGAAGTCTCATTTTACTTCTTAATCTGGGCTGTTCTGATGTAATTGTCTATTTTTTTTTGTTGTTGTTTGCCTTCATTTCCAGATGACATGAAGCACATCCTCTTCTCTCAAACCCATTTCACCCCCTCTCTGTACTCTTTTTTTTATCATGATGGTGAGAGTAAAGCTCAGTAATAAGCTTAGGAGAGGGGCTGTGTGCAAGCTGTGGATGGCAGACTCTCAGCACTGGGCATCTGCCAGCTCCCCCCCATCTCTCTTCCCCTCTGCCTTCCTCTTCCTCAGCCAGTTCGGTCCCGGCGGAGGCTTCTTTGCAATCAAAGCCTGCAGCATTCTGGGAGAGCCAGTTTTTCAGCACACACAGCTCTGGTTTGACAGACTTGCTGTAAATCCTCATCACTCGGAGCGCATATAGCTGATCACAGTTGGTAATAATAAATGCTGTCAGGTAGATACGATGCCTGATTTGAAGCATTGATATCAATGCAATCTGAGTTTTTGCACAAAAG